GGGGGGAGGGGGGCTGTCCCACTGTTGCTGCAGTTTGAGCCAGTTCGCCGAGTGCATGTCGCCATTGGTGCACATCATGCCGCAGCTCGCTGGCAGCGCAGCGCACTAATTTTATCTGCAGTCTGACGTCCATCAGGTTGGTCACCTTGCTGCGCAAGGTACAGGAGGGTGTTTGTTGAGTCAGGTTCTGGAGGGGGCCCAGCCCTAGTACCTAATGTTGCAGCAAGGGGCTGCACGTGCTGCAGCAATCGTGCAGCCATCCGACCTCCGGCCACAACCCAATCGGGTGCAGTCATCATGGAGCATAACTCACATCACCTTTCCACCCGTTATGCATGTATCGCAGGCGCTCCCCACCAACGAAGAGATGCAGCTGTTGAGGCAGCACCTCAAGGTGCCCGGCACAGACAAGGACATGACCTTTGGCGACCTGCCCGCCTACCCACTCGCCTTAGCCCCGTGCGCTCCTCAGCCCTTTCCGCGGGTTCTCAATTTCCATGCCAGGCGGGCTTCAATCAAGGCTCAGCAGATGGGCTGGCCACATGAGTCTGTCAAGTTCATGACTGGACCAGCAGATTCAGCGAGGTCCAAAGTGCTGGCATGGTTTGAGGACATGGCCGCCACCGGCGCAGATGAGGCACAGCCACATTCTATCGACGAGCTTCACAAGGCGCTGCAGCACATCATGATGTTGGACTAGGTGGGTGCACACCTGTGGTTTCTTGTGAGTTTTACAACGGTTTGCCCGTTGCCACAGAAGCACTCCACAACATCCTCATCCAGCTATCACCTGATGGCCTGTGTCCCAGGGGCAGCAACGCCCAAAGGCAGAGGATGGTGTGTGCCACCACCTCGACACCACCTGTTAGAAGTCAGACTTGCCATGAAACACGCATGTGTGGCGGTGATGGAGTCAGACATGCATGCTGCTCACGCAAGGGTTTGGCCTTGCGCAAGGGGTGGGGTCTCGGGGGTAGAAGGTGGGGTGGCCGCTGTGATCAAATACTAATCTGTAATGAGCGAATTGAAGTTGCCACCAGTCGAAGGTGCTGCGGCTAAGGACCAAGGGGGGCAACCAGGGGCCGCCCTCTATCTGACCCCATCAGCGCCTCAGGGGTTTGGTGGGAGCTGCCCCCGTTGATAGCAGCTGTGTGTGCGTGACCCCAAACGCACCTGTTATAGATAACACGTAACATCACAACACGAAAAGAACACTGTCGGTTATGAGATGTGGAACAGACCCATGGCCACACAAGACCACATACCAGGGGTGTCGGACTGAGCAGCTGTGCAGACCGCAGGGGGCAAGCCATTACATGACAGTCCCCAGCAACCCTCGCAGCAGTGAGTCAGCATGCGCCTGCGGAGCGCATGTGATGGCGCACGCAGAGCAGGCAGTGCGCAAGGCGACGGCGGCAGGCAGTCGCAGGCGGCTGGTGATGGGAAGATAGACACAGGGGCCAGTAAGCGAATGAGGAAGAAACGCGGTGTGCAATCTACACAAAGCCCTTGTGGTGGAGTAAGGGCATCAGAGGCTGCGGCACAGGGTGGTCTGTGCGACGCAGCCTTGCACGGCGGCTTGGACGGCGAACAGGCAAGCGTTCTAGGCCACAGCCCGGGCTGCGCAGGGGAACCGCGCGGTTGGTCATGCTGAAACACACGGTGTACAGGACATGGAATCAAAAGACATCAAGCAAACTTCAAGCGGCATCAACTCTTGCCCTTGAGCCTTGCAATTTCCTCTTCCAGCTCTGGCAAAGCCGTGAAGAGGTCCTGGACCAAGCCGTAATCCGCCAGCTGAGGTTGCATTGAGCAAAAGGTTTGCATAGCAGGGCGTTTGTGAGGCACATCGGAGATGAGATATAGTGTGTGTGTGTGTGTGTGTGTGTTCGGGTGTGTGCACGTGCACGAGTGTGTGTATGTGTGCACACGCACTCACGCTTGTGCTTTGAGCTTTCTGCAAGCTGTGTACGGACAGTGCTGGAAGGCAATCTCTCCCCGTGCCACTGTTGATGCAGCTGCGGTCACAAAATGCACCCGCCTCACCCACTGTCGCAGCCAACGCACATATCTGCCACCATGCGCATCTGCACACGGAGACATACCAGGACAACCACCAAAAGAATCCACACACATCTGCACCCACAGACGTGCACTCAAACACCTGCCTGCCCCCCACATACACAAGCGCGGGCACATGCACACCTTGCCTCGCCCACACAATAATTAATCACAAGCACACGCGTCCCTTTACCTGGAATATGGGGGCCTCTGCGTCCGTGTTGATGGCCACAATCGTCTTGGAGTCCTTGATGCCCGCGACGTGCTGGATGGCGCCGCTGATGCCGAGGGCCAAGTACAGGTCAGGCGCTACCACCTTGCCCGTCTGGCCGACCTGTTGGATGACACGCGTGTGCATGCAGTGTTGCATGAGTGCGCACGACGACGCGCTGATGCGCAACAAGCAGTGTTTCGCGCCTTGTGACGCGAGCTGGGGCCGCTTGACGCTTTGACGCGTATGATCGTCGGCACGATAAAGCTAGCAACAAGGCGGCACCGCGCAATAGTGCAAGGCTGACGATCTCATCTGTGGCCTGACCATGAAGGATGCCCCACCCAACTAACCGACAACCGCCTCCACCCGCAAGCCGCCTGCGGACTGCCGTCCCAGTCCGTCATGCTGACATCGCACACACCTGCAGGTCGTTGGCCACGTACCCCGCGTCCACCGCCGCCCGCGACGCCGCCACCGCGCCGCCCAGCATGTCTGCCAGGCGCTCCAGCAGGGCGAAGTTCTCCTTGGATTTGAGGGCGCGCCCGCCTGCGACGATGACCTGGCGACGGCGGCCGGGTTGGGTCGCCGTGCAGGGGTGCGGTGGCAGTAATTACGATGTCGGACGCCCATGTATGTTTCCTGGCAGCGCCACACGCTTGGCTGTTATGGGGTGGTGGTGTGTGTCCCTTGATGACGTCACGGGCGCTGCGAAACACCCACAGCGGGAGCGCACGCAGGCCTCCAGAAATCCCAAGCTCTCCCGTTTGATCCACATAAGAGCCCCAATCCATGCAACCAGACCCCACCGCACCTTTGCGCTCCCCAGGTCAGGCCGTCCGCCCGCCTCCCGCCCGGCCTCGCCCTCCCAGATCGGCGCCGCCGGCGCGCCCTGCAGCGCCGCGAGGGCGCCCGCGGGGACTGCCTCGATCGGCGCGGCCGCGTCCGGCCGGACTGCCGCCGCCTTGAAGCTCGTGGGGCGCGCCTGGCGTGTTCCGTGCGGGGCGCGGGGCGTGGGCAGCGGCAGGGGGGGCCGGGGTCCCCGCGAACGCCGGCCGCTGGCCGAGAGATTGCTGGCTCGGCGGCTCGTTCCGAACTGTGTGTAGCCCCCTTGCTCTCCCGTTTGCTGCACCCAGTGGCGGGTCTCGTGCTCCTCAGTCGCCCGTCCAAGCGGCCAAGGCGCCTCCCCTGAGCGCGCCCTGCCTGTCCCGCCCTGCTCACTGTCAGCATGCGCAGCCCCGGCGCCAGGAACCTGATCGTCGCCAGCGCATTGCCCGCGTAGATGGGCCGCACAAAGGTGTCCGCGTCGCGCAGGCCCACCACATCCGCGGCCGGCTGCACGCCCAGCAGCGCGGCGGCCCGCGGCAGCAGGTTTTTGCCAAAGGTGCCGGCCGGCGCGAGGACGTGGGTGAAGGCGGGGGCCGCGCCGCGGAGGAGGGCGGCAAGGAGTTCTGAGTAGGGCTCCGCGAGTTGGTGGGCGAGGGCAGGAGAGTCGGCGACGAGGACCTGTTTTCAGGGCGGGATTTGGTATTCAGGTGTGGTGGGTTGGACGGGTTGTTGAAGGACGTAACTGGCCAGTGTTTTGTGGGGTCTTGAGGGAGGAGTCAGGGCGTCGGGGCGTGCCCGACAAAACAGGCCAAGCTGCTGCCAGGAGCGGAGGGCAGGTGTCAAAGCCCAACGCCGCTGGGCTGCTGCGCTGGGACGCCGCACCTTCTCGACGCCCTCCACGCGCGCGACGCTCTCGGCGACGCCGCCGACGCCCTCGCCGCCGACGAGCGCGGAGACGGGGCCGCCGAGCTGCGCCGCGGCCGTGATGGTGTTGAGGGTCGCGCCGCCCAGCGCGCCGTGGCGGTGCTCGACGATCACCAGGCTGCTGGCCTGCGGGTGTTGGGGCGAGGCTTGAAATTGTGGGGATTCCATTACACCTCTATCGGCGGCACGCATGCAGTCTGCGGGTGTGCCACGAGGGGGCGCCGACCCCAAAGCGCCAGCACATGCATGGGATGCGTGGTGCGCAGGTCCGATTCTCTCGCTGGACCTGAGCTATATGCGTGCTATATAGTGCCACTCGAGCATTCCATAGCCCAGGAATCGCCCGTGTCCACGTTGCTGCTAGCATTATAGTTCGTTGTCGCGCAGCTCGTGCTGACGGGGAGGCACTGGCCGATCTGGGGTACGGTAAACAGTCGCTCGCATTGAAGTGTACTTATGTGATCAATTGCGAACTACCGCATCGATATCACCTCAGTGCCACGTATGGCATTGATCGAGAGTCACCGGGTGAGATTTTGTGTCAGCTGATCCTTGAGCCTCCAGTCCGTGTACACATTAGCACAATTATCCGAATCGGCTTGATTCAGCTTTGTACCGCAGATCACTTCCGCAACAACCCGTCCTTAGTGTAGCCTCCTCTCATCCCGGCGATCCAATATACAGCCTGGGGCGCAGGCCTCTTAGTGGCCACAATGACGATATATACAGAATGGCTGCCGTTTGCGGAGGAGGCGCGCGTCGAGGAGCCAAAGCGCTTCGCTGCGGCCGCGCGCGGCCTGCGCCATGCGCTGCAGCAGTGCACTCAGCCAGGCGCGGCCCCAGGCAGCTGGGCGCTCGTCCTGCCGTGGCTCGAGCCTGTCAAGGCGTGAGTGGTTGGCACGCATCGGGACAGGCCGCTGAACACCTCCAGATGGGGCCGCGGCTGCCTGCGGCACCGGCATGCAGCACGTGAATTACGTCATCAGTCCTCGCTGGCTTGCAGAGGGGGCGTGGCATAACCTCATCCGCGCCTCCGTGTTGCCTGCGCGATGTGATCGCATGCACAGCCGGCTACTGCCCTGCGGGTGCCTTCGCCCCGTTCTTGCGAGTAGAGGGTTGCCGCAAATATCGTTCCTAATATTCACTCTGCTGTCCCCCTTTGCCTGCCACCCAACGACCTGCGAGCCGAGTGCAGTTTGGTGTCGACGAAGACTGAGTTTGACCGGGGTCAGGTTGCGGATGTCATGACTGATCTTTGGGAGATTACCCTGCAGTCTGGGGAAGACGTGGAGGTGCAGGTGAGGGTGTGACAGAGTGCCGTACTGTTGGCGGGTGCGCGCGGTCGTGCGTGCACGCGTGTGTGTGTATGTATATGCCGCGCGTGTGTGTGTTGGTGTGGGAAAGGGGGGTGCGGCAAAAAAGAGCAGTTTTGGTATCGTGTTTGTATTGGTCGAGGCGAACACGAAGGATTTCCAGTGGCGGCAGGCCGCGGCGTGAGGCCACCAATCGGGGGGGCGGGTGCAGTCCGGCTGCTTCGAGCAGCTGCGGCTTCTTCAACACCACACAAACGGGCATCGTACGCTCTCTCTCTCTCTCTCTCTCTCTCTCTCTCTCTCCCTCGCACACACACACACACACACACACACAAACACACATTGCCACAGGTGAGGACCTGCGAGGTCCTGACGCACTGCCTGCGCCAGTACCGCCGCGACAAGGCCCTGGCTGCGCGGCTCACGCTGCCCTGGCGGCCGCTGTACGAGGCCCTGCGCCGCCACTGCGCCGGAGAGGGGCTGCCGGAGCTTCGGGGTGAGGGGGGGGGCCGTGCGCAGCGCGCAGGGCGTGCACAGCGGGGTTGTGGGGTCGCATGCTGGAGGGGTTGCAGGTGGATGGATCGGCATGCTTCTAAACAAGCATGCTGCTAAACGTGCAAGACGATGGAGAGTTGCTCACTGTGCAAGCGGTTACTAGAGTACACGCTGTTGTCCCACTGCGGATCCCCTTGCGCGACACACCCCTGTGCACCGCTCCTCAGGGGGCATGCTGGCGCAGGCGCGCCACTCCGCGCTCTTCTCGCTCGTGCCGCGCGCGCGCCGCCACTTCCCCGCCTCGGCAGCAGCCGAGGTCTGGGCGGCGGCGCGGCCGGCGCTGGTGGGGGGTGACCCGGCGGGCACGGCGGCGTTTATGTCGTTGGGGTGGCTGGTCATGTTTTTCCCGACCAAACGGGTCCCTGAATGCGAGCCTGGGGTGGTGAGTCATCTTTAGGTCGGATTGTGGTGGTGATGCCAGGGCGTCTCGGTCGTGGACGTGGCCTGGTGGGGTATCAACCATACTCAGCCTGATATGGGACCCTCACCGGAAACAGAATCAGAGGCGCGGCTTGCAGGCACAGGCCCAGCAGCGGTGCAGGGCGCCGTGGGCGCCCAGCCCTGGTCTGGAATTTTTGGCGAATCTGCGATGCGGCGGGCCCTCTGTGGGCGTTGCGGGCCCCTTCGCTCCGCCGGCCCCCGACTCGTGACGCCACTGCTCTCCTCGCGTCAGGTGGAGGGCTGGGTGTCCGAGTGGCTGGACGTGTGGGAGCGCCTGGCCTTCTGCGACTTCTGGTCTTCCCATTGGATGTACCTGCTGGCGCGCACCGCCAAGGATGACTGGAAGGGTGCGTCGCCGGCGACTTCCGCACGGTTCGCAAGACCGCAGATCTGATCTGGCACGACCTGATCGATCTGATCTGATCTGACATGGCGCGGTTCGGCCTGATCTGAGCGAGTCGGTATGGGTTTGGTTTTGGTCAGGCGGGCAGGGGGCTGCGCCGTAGTGTTGCATTGCAGCTGAGCGCTTGGTTGAGCGGCATAAGGCAAGCATGAAGCTGTTTGAGTGATAGGACATTTGAAGAGTTGGCGTCGCCTCGTCGCGATCAAACAGGCTTGTGCGACTCCCTTTTGCACAACAAAACCCACGCGCGCGCCCCCGCGACCGCCCAACCGCAGGCGTGGTGGACTGGCGGCCGCTCCTGCCCCGCCTCTACACGCATATGCTGGCCGCCTTCAGGGTCCCGGTGGGCACCGCCACCTCCAGCCCCCCCATGTCGGTTACACCGCCATCGTCGGTGACATCACTTTTTGGTCACAAGATCGACCAGGTGGGCGGCGCTTCGCGTGGATAGAGGGATCGTGCTAACATATCAAGTGCGTTGAGGCCTTTTGGGACACCGAATGCGCTAACTCCTTGGGCTGAGTTGGCGCCACCGTGGGAGGGTTGTGGGGGCAACAGGGCAGCATCGGTGACAGAGACGGGGCTGGAGCACGCCTGGAGCCACGCCTTGGCACCCTTGAGTCCAGGCTTTGCATGGTTTGGTTTGAGGCGGACTGTGTTCATGTGATGGCAAAAGTAGGGACCAAACAGATTGAGGGAGTCTTTGAAGCGACCGGGTCACGGCAGATCTTGTGGTCCAGTATGCAATGCGGGCCTCACATGTTCGTTGCCCCATCTTGGGGGTCATCGGTGCGCGAGGTCGAACATCCCCCCTTGAACACGACCCCGCGTGCCTTTGCGACCCCGCTGGACGCTCTCGCCCGCTGCGTGCTCCGCCACCCTGCTCCGTTGCCCGCCCTGAGCCGGGGCTGCGTCGCGGCGGGCGGGACGGCACTGATTACCTCGCCCCCTCTCCACATCTTCTCAAACAATCCCCCCCGGCATGTATCGCATGCCCTCCGGCCGGCGTCCCTTTCTCTTCTTTTTGGGGAGCGAGAAAGGGCCCTGCCTGCAAGCGCTGAGACCTCCTCTATCAACCGACGCCAACTGTTCCTCCGCCGACTGCCAGGTGGACGACGCCTCGAAGAGCGCCGCCAAGCTGGCACTCCACCTACAGAAGCAGCCCGACGGCGCCGCGATGACGCCCGCTGACGTCACCGCCGCCCCTGGCGGAGTCCAGGACCCGCCGCCGCCGCG